TGGTAGAGTCAAGAAAGGTGTTCCGGAGGCATATGGAGTTAGCCAGCTGCAAGATAAATACATTCTGTGAGGCACTGTCATTTGCAAATGAAGTAACTGAAGTTCACACAGCTAGTGAGCCCTGGAGCCAAGATCTGAACCTGAGGAGGAAAGGCATCACTCAGGAGATCACCATGCTGTCCCTAGACTGACAACAGCCCTAGCCTTCCCCTTTGGGCATCTTCACCACTGTCTCCTCCCCGCTGTAATTTTCCAGGTGAGGGACACAGCACTTCACGCAGGCTTCTTGGAGCAGAGAATCTGGCATCTGGAATGACAGGCACTCAGTTTTCCCACTGTTACTGCCCTGGAGATTCTGCAAACCCCGCAGACCGATGGCTTGTCAGGCAACGGCACGTGGCAGTCCAAGCCCAGGGCCGGGGCTCTGGAAGGGGAAACGCTGATTTAATCTGGGGCTTGGCTACAACCCACAAAAAAGAAACCAGAAGCTCTGGGAACCGTGCAGGTCCTTCACACGCCAGTCCCCGGAGAAAGCCTGCGGAAACGCTGCGCGGGGGACGGTGGAAAAGGGGAGGTGGGAGGCCAGCTGCCTCTCCTGTGCCAGACCCACCAGGCCACTGAGCAGGTCCACACGGAGCTCCGGCTCACCCTGTGGCGAGACAGGGACACGGAGGCACACTGGCAGGCCAGAGGGAAGGTGGCACTCAGAGGACACTGGGCAAGGACCCCAAACTCACCAACTGCCAAAATATGCTCCACATTCCCAGCCCTTCATCTCAAAGTGCCATGAGAAATTAAAAAAAAAACAAAACAAAAAACAAAACCACACGCACAAACAAATCAAAATAATCAGCATCCCGGATTCTCTGTCCTGAGGAAGGGGCTGTCTGTCAGATGAATCAGACGGTGATGAGAAACCAAGACAGTGAAAGCAGTAACAGTGGGGGCCTGGGCAGCGAAGACGGCCCTGTGACCTCCTCCCTCCTCAACTAACGGCAGAGCCCAGGACACAGCAG